CGTATGCAAGAAACCAAAACCCTTAGGAACAAGGGTTGACACACACACACACACATACACAACTCCTGCTCTCTCTCTCTCTCTCACATCAGGCTGTCAGCTTCGTTCCGCCCAAAAGAAAGCCGGAGAAGTACAGGCTCGGACTTTTCCCATGAAACAGAAACTGAACCGTGCAGCACATGCCGCTGGCCTTTGGAGAAGGTACCATTACCCTGGCCACTAAAATCCTCTGCAGGAGCAAAATGTGGCGCTTCAAAGGTATTGAAATAGTATTGAATTCTGGCTTGTCCTTTGGACATGGCCAATCCCTGTGCAGGGATAGGGCAAGGGTGTGGGAATTCGACTATGTCAACATGACCACTTCGGGATAGTGCCTTGGGATTCTGCTTGGTGGCATGTACACAAGGGGGGGGCATCACTGATGGCAGGCTTCAGAATCTCCAGCGATGCGCGTGCTCCTCACAGAATCCCACAGAGTCGACCCTTCAAAGGCCACATCGAACAGGGTGAACAACGGACAGCCCGAAAATGGCTCAAGAGGCCAAGGACGACGAGAACATGTGGGAGACACGTGAAATCCTGCAGTGAAGATTTGGAACTGACCTGGATTGGGTGGAAGAGTTTGGGCCACTCAACTCGTACCATGCACAAAATTTGTCGAGGCCAGCTTTGTTTGGGAGATATCCACGGCCATCCACCCGCCTTTTTCGTGCCTGGCGACGTGTTATTCCTTCGCCTGCGTTGATGGACGGTTGAGCTGCGGCTACAAGGCCACAATGGGAAGCTCGAGGCTCAAATGTGTGACCTAGAGAGGTCACAGCACATTCACCTAGGCCTGCAACTGTCGGTATAGGATTTATGATGATTTATGCGTCTCCAGCTTTTGTGCTTGGAGCTTGCATTTTGCAACATATAAAGCAAGAACACAGGCTGTTCGAAGGCTTGTTTCTGTTCAACTGTGCACCTGGAATTAGCTTTAGGGCTGTATCATGTAAGGCTTTGCTATTTACAACCTGAGATTCTGCCTGACCTTTCACTGGCCTTCTTGGCCTTGGACGGCGGGCGCACCCAAACAGTCACGCGACCGTCGCCAGCCTTGGGCTGAACAAAGGTGACATGGCATATCCTTCAGATCCCTTCGAATGAAGTCGATGGAAGATTCTTGCCCTAAAAGAACATCTAAATAGGCATTTCTGTGTACATCTAGATGCTAGCCGCTGCTAGCCTCCTTGCCCCTCCGCAAGATCTTCTGTCTTAATGTCTTCGCATCCCGGAGATCGGCTTGTGCGGGCGAGGAAACCTCTTTGGCCACTCCTCTGAGCGTATATATACAATGCATATTTCACTTTAAAGTATATTTCACTTTAAGGTTGCTGCTGTCAAAGTATGAGATATGTGCATTTATATGTATATATGTTTATGCTATACTGGATATACAGCATTCAATGGACACAGAGTCAGCAGTGTAAAGCAATGCAAGCACAAGTAAGGAGAGTAGAATATGGCATGGAACTTGGCAAAAAAAAATACAAAGCAAAGAACGCAGCAAATTGAGTGCGGTGAGTTGAGCCAAATCAAAGTAAAAGACAAAGGGGTGGTGTAAGTAGGACAGAACCAATTGGAATACAAAAACACTGTGTAGGACGGGAAGTAGGTAATCTTAAGTCCGAATCTCAGATGTAGGGTGCAGAAAGCTGTATCGGGGTCGAATGTAACGGGTATGAGACAAAGTGGGCAGGTAGCAATTATTGTATAATATTATTTGGTTTTGACTAGGAGATGGAGGTTACAACGTGCCAGAAACTTGACTCAAAAAGCCAAATGATTGAGGACTTTGGGTAGGGAGGTGTTTGCTTCTTGGATTATTCTCCGCACCTGCAAATGTTTTGTGATGGTCAACCGATCGAAACCCTCAAGTGTTTGATTGCTTGAGAATGTCCTGTCATTCTCTTCAGCTGGGTTGCTCACATTTTGACTCGACCAGGCAAGCAGGTATTCAAAAATTGAAGCAACATGAGCGCCTACGGAAAAAAAATCAGACTTCAAGATGGCCCCCGAAACAACAGCTTGAAACGTAGGTCATACCACCAAAACAGAGCCACAAACAGCTGCATACCACATCTCGAATCTCGACAATAAATGTACAGTAATGTAACAATAATGTGTATAATATATATATATAGTATTGCTAGTAGTGTTGTTATTGTAATATATATATATACACACATACCATGTCTTGGTCTATATACTTGCATCCACTCCGTTCTTAGAAAGCAACAGAGGACAGCTGTGGATTTCCAAACTCCTTTTAATGGAATCATTGGTGTGCGATGCTGCCATGCAGGCTGGGAAATATGGTCCGGACAACCCAGTGTAGTTGAGACGGTGTGCTCCTCGCAAACGGCAGGTACACTCCAGGAGTTGAGGACAGGTCAATGCAATACTTCCAACAAAAAGCTTGACTGACATGCAGTCCAGGAAGGATCAAGAATGGAGTGGCCGCATTGCCATCCTGCCCCCCAACCTGCGGATGGCACTCACTCAAGAAGGGGCCCTTCCTTTCCTGACTCTTGCCCATGGAATCCTACAAATGAGGCATCATGTCGGCAACATACCACGATTCCAGCGCCGAACTTTGTTAGAAAACACATTCTCAAAAGGTCTCAAACATCCCACTATAAAATGGAAGGAATAGAAATGTCAAGGTCCTCTTGCTACCTCCGAGCACTCGCAGCCTCGCACCCCACGCAGAACACCCTTTGCCCGTTGGGATCGTACGCCTCACCGGCTTGAGCGCCAAATGCTTGTCTGGCAGCATTGCCTTGGACATGGTCGCCAGCCTGGGATGGATGAGTCACCAACCACCCAACCAGCCAACATCAACTAACCAAATGGGTGGTGAAAACATGGTCCAGCGCAGTCCCAACACTCCAGCCGCACCCGTCGTAAAGTCAAGAAGAAAAAGAAGCTTCACAGCTGGACGAATCCACCAAGCGGAGGTCTGGGCTCCCCAGCAATCGAACACTGTAGGCATCGGTGGACAGGACGTGGATCGAATGGCCCTCACCGCTGAGAGCGACCAGTTTGAAGGCCAAGCGGTTCCAGGCCGACGCGGGCACGCGACATGGGATCCTAGTGTGCACACACACCTTCCTCTGCCTAGGAATCGTTTGGGTGAAAACATGGAAAACAAAATAATTGACTCAGAACCTATGGGCAGAAGCCCAACCGACAGGCTATTCCTCCGAGAGTCCACCCTGTGCTGCACAGCTGCCTGAGAGTCCACCCACTTTCCCAAGAGGGACTCGGACGGCATGAAGTCGTCGCCAGTGGACGACTCATTGGGAAGCCTCAGTCAGATCCAAAAAGAATCACAGAGAGTCGGCCTCAAATTTCAGGATGTTGATGTTCATCAGTCTGACAGGGTCAGACTGAAGAAATGAAACACCTGTCCGGCTTTCGAAGATGTTCAACGACTTTTCACACTGCCCCGAACCCGAGTTGAGGGGTGGAAAACGTGGTCGTCAAAAACTGCATGCTTCTTGGCGAAGTGTCTCCTGACCAAGTTAGCATGTCCATTCACCTCAATCCCAAGCACCGCTGCCTCTCTTCGGCCACCACCCACTGCTTTCCAGGTCTGCGTGCTGCGCCCTGAGAAACACACAAAAGCTGTGCGTTCAGGGTGGTCGTCAATTGTACGAAGCTTCGTCATCATGCTGTAGACTCTGCAGGCAGCTACGGCCAGTCTCCGTTTCTTGCTTGCCAAACCCAACAAACAACAAAATTGCCAAGATCCGGGCTGCCATATTAGCTCTGGGCCTAGGAGGTCTGGGGCAAAGAAGAAGCTAACTCCAACCGTATGTCCTTCTCATGTATTCACCTGTTACCAAACCAAATCTTGCTAAAGCTCAAGATCCAAATATTACCAAAGAGACCTGCGAGGCTGAAAGGACGGTTCGTGAGGTTTTGACTGAACCTGTGGGTCCGGTGTGGCTCATCTGGGCGACAAGGGATGGCAAATGTCTGCAGCAAGCTACGCTGGCAGCTGTGCAGGTCCTGGTGCTTCAAACCTTGGGAGAGAAGGAAAAATGCATGATTGAATAAACGTTGAAAAGGGCCAAACCATGAACCATGGCTCCGGAATTGGCCCTTCCGATCACATGGCCCCAGAAAGGAGCAAACAAAAGTCTTGACTGCTGACATAAGACAAAGTTGTGCGTGCTTGAACGCGTCTGAGGGGTGCGCAATCCATCCGGCAAATCTGATCCTGGGCCTCGAGTTGCAGTGGTGATTCGGTTCGGGGCAGGGCCAGGGAACAGGAAACCTTGGCAAATGACGTTCTGTCAAAGTTCCGGTTAAGAAAAACGGGTACGACTGCCAGCTCACCACGAAAAACAACTGAGCCCCCCGACATGCCGCATCATAAAAGCCTTCGCCGAAGGCGCCTGAAACCTCACAGTTTGTGGATTTTTGAACGGAGAGTTGCATTGACTCTACACCTTTCCAACTTTGTTTTAAGATCAGCCCTGCAACCTCTCGCAGTTTTCATCGAGGACCCACCTGACAACTGTAATATTCCAAGTGCCCCAAGTGTTCGACAGACTGGACCTCTCCTGCCGAAAGCAGTGTCCAACATTTTCGAGAACCAGCACCACGTTGCTTTTTCTCCGCCAACATGTATTGTTCCAAGCCATTTTTTGCAAAGCTGTTTTTAGCTCATGCTTGGCTGGTGAAACAGGGACTGGCGCGTTCTCCGGATGGCCGTCCATTCTTCCTGGGGTCTTTCGCTGCCCGCCGGCGCAGGGGGCCGGAGCTGCCCTGGTTTCCTTAGCTTGGACAAAACATGCGTGCTTGTGTGTGTGTGTGTCACACCCTGATTCCAAGGGTCACCAACAGGTCTTGCATCTAGTTCACGCAGGGGGTGGAGACACCTGTATTGCTTCTCCACCAACGAAGCTGGCAATACTCAGTTCTGGATGCAGAACTGACGTACCTGCTTCTTTACACCTGTTGTTCTCGGCCCTTTATAAGGTCTGTTTCTAGGTTCCAGGTCGTTCCTGCAGTAAAGTGCTAATGCATCGGGAAATCGTTAACTGAACGAACGCTCATTCAGTTGAGCAGTGAGTCTAAGCAAGTAAGCAAGTAAGTAAGTGAGTAAGTGAGTGTCCCGGAACCTGTTCCTAAGGAAGCTCGAGTCTTACATGTTATCATTGTACAGAAGCGCCGGGATCTCATCTGTGTGCGTGTGTCCTGACCAAGGAGGACCAAAACCAAACAGCATGAGGGTGCAAACATACAACATTGTTGTGTTCTTGGCCATTTACACGGAGGTCTCAGGTTGTTTCGCACTAGTTGGGCAGTGCAGGAAAAAGGGCTACCATGGCTAGTGCTTTAACGAGTGTGCTTGTGACTGCTAGTGCTCCCGGCAATCGCTCTGCAGCGGCACTGTACATGCCGTAGGGTGTCTCTCTCTCTCTCTCTCTTCAAGTGGGCGCTTGCGCACGTACAGAATGAAGATGTTGAACGGCGTAACAAGAACAGTTCCAGTCAACAGTTCCTGTCAACTTCCTTGACATGGGCCAGCAGTGTGCCATCCCTGCAAGGAGGCGTGCTTGATTTCTGTGGTCACCTCTGACTCTCATTCCGTTTCAGAACTTGGAATATCCCACACCGGAGCAGGACAAAAGCTCGGGGTGTTGATGGGGGTGCCACGATGCAGCCGATGATCCTCAGGAAAGTGGAACCGGCGACTCTGCCTCCTCCACGTCACCAGCATCACCTTCTGGATCTTCACCCTGAGGCCACCCGCCCACGTTGTCCAAGTCTTCGATTGAGAAGTCTTGGTCCATGCTCTGAATCTCTTGGCGCACCTGAGCTCTTCATCCCACCCCCGTCATGAACCCCACGTCGATTCTAATCATCCATCCTCCCAGCTGAGGAAATCTATGGTTCGCTTTGCTCGAGTGATTTTTGGGGAAGAACTCCCAACATACTTCGGAAACAAACATGGCAAACAGGCTGGCACCTGATAGAACTTGTCTTCCAGCTCCTCGTAGAGCTCGCCAAAGCAGCGCTTGATGAGACTGTTGGTGACGCGGATCTGCTCTTTGCAATCCTCCATGGTGTGACTCCCTTCGAGTTCAACCAAAATGACTCCAAGACTGATAGGTGCAGGGGAACCTCGAAAAAGTTTCACATGTTTCTCACCCAACATTTACAGTAGCAGTAGCACCTTTCCCCCCCCCGTCCCCCGGATCACTTCGCTTTCCAACAGAACCGGGCCTTGACAGTGGCAGGGTTGGAGCCACGCATTCCCAGGACCATGTTCACGAGCTCTGAGAAGGTGAAGGTCTTAGCCTGGGTGCCCGCCTGCGCCAGAACATCAGAGCGAAATCCAGCAGGATAAGATGCGAAGAATTAGTGCCCTAGAGTGCTAGAGCTATCTGCTCTCGGCTGAATGAGGTCCGTGGGATGATCAAAGTTGCCTAACCCAGCATCCCTATCACCTCGCCCTCCCTTAACCTGCCTTGGAAGCATCTTCCCAGACCAAGTCCAGCATTTCCGCAAGCACCTCCACATTCACCCCAGATTCGTGCATCACCCGCACGATGCCCGGCTCCAGGACCAGCTTTTGAAATTCCAGCTGGTCCAGCGCCATGTCCTGTTCTGGTCCGAGCCACTGGGAGAGTGAAAAGGATTATATATATATATAGATGAGTATATAGATGCTTTGGGACCTCTTGGGGTCTCAGGCCTACAACGACCAATCTTTCCTGGTCATGGATGAATGACATGGCAACCTGATGAGCTTCCTTGGTGGGTTGTTGTGATCTTTTCTTCTATGCGGGGCGATGGTGTACATTTTCCGGCTGACTCCGTCCTCCGGGATGATTGACAACTTGTCCAGCTCTTCTCGAAGCTGTCCGACAATGTAGGTGATCTCAATCTTTTGCTTCTCCTAGGCCGCGCCGAGAAATTCTCCAGAGGCTTGGCTTGGTCACCCGACAACCCAGCTCCCCCGTTCTCCCTAGAGGGTCTACATCCAGACATTGGGTCCACGGTCCACCCACCAAGTCTCTGTGGAGGCCACTGCGCCAATCACGTCCACCAAAACGCCTAATAACATATACATGATGGTCACGGAGACGAGTGCCATAAAGAAGACCATGATCGGCCATAGCCCTGGGTTGTCTTTGGCAATGGCATTGATCACATCCGCGTTGGCCCCAAAGACCGCAGGCAAAAGGAGTGTGTTGATGGATTCTGGGACGGTCTTGAAGAAAGTGGTGCCAATCGTGGAGCCCTCAGTAAGTGATCGCATGATGATTGCAAAGGCGTAGGTGATGATGGCCCACAACAAGGAGAAGACGCACACCTGACAAAATCGTGCGAAACTGAATCGACGCGGTAGCATTGCCGTTCCAAATTTCAAAGCAAAAAGCACGAGCCAATCATGTTCACCAAGGGCCCATATAAAGGTGTTCATTACAATGCTTCAATCAGAGTGAAGTAAGAAAGGCATGTGAGTTATGTCGGCTATTTCATGCTATGTTTTATGTTTGACCGCTGGTTTCCCAGTTGACCGCTTCACGGCCCAAGCGGCTGATCTGGTGGCAAAGGCCAGCCCCTTGACGATGATCATCAGCTCGGGGAAGGACCGCAGCAATCGCGTGAGCCGGGTGAGGCGCACCAAGCGCACCAGGCGGATGAGCCGCAGCAGGACGGTGCCTTCGGGTAAACCACTGAGGTCTCCGGTCAATAAGAGCAACACAGGGGTGACCCACGTCTCCACAATGATGAGAAGGGCGAGGAACAGGTCGAAGCTAAACCAGAAGTCTTTGAAAGCATTCAGCTTTCGCTGGAAAGCCAGGAAGCGAACGATGATCTCCAACGTGAAATAGATACAAAAGAAGTTCTCCCCCACGATGATGGCTGGGTGGGCATTGAACAGGATGGTCTCCGTATTCAAGTCCGCATCGACTCCAAGCCAAACCGAATTAGCAATCACCACCAAGATGGTGAGATTGTGGAAAAAGGGGTGGCGAGCAAGCCGTTGCATTAGGCCTTCATCCTTGTAGTAGTCATAGACACTATACTGCTTCTTCATTGCAGCTGCCGTGGCCTTCTCCTTCAACTTGTCAATGGGAGTGAAATTGGCGGCTCGGGTATGGCTCTTCGCTGTCTCCTCTTCAGGGCTGATTTGCAAATTGAAATGCTGGAGCATGCTGACACCTATATATTTTAGGCACCCAAAGGGAAACAATAGAGGCGATAAAGGAATCAACCCTGCTCCTCTTTGCTGGTCACTTTTCTTTTCTTCCTCTTTTCTTGCCTCAGCCTTTCCATTGTGAGCTCATTCCAGGAGCCATCGGTTTGTACAAAGGTATCTTTCAATTGCGCCTCTGCCTGAATCCCAAAGTCTTTGAAGCGCTTCTGCATAGGGCTTTGAGGTCGACTCGGTGGCAAATCATCCACCTCCAGCTCAGCGCTCTCGACCTCCACCGCCTTCGAGGCCGGCCGCCGCAGGGATTTCGACTTGCGCGGCCCCATCAGCGCCTCGGCCGCCCGGTGGAACGTGGTGTTTGGCGCGCTCGCCGCCGTGTCCGACTTGATCCGCTCGAGGCCCAGACGGTTGCTGCTCACGGGGGTGGTGCTGGTGAATGCTTCCACCGCCAGGGCAGATGAGGCGGACTCGTCGCGAGACTTGCGGTGGGGATCGCTCATCTTCCGGCCGCGCGCCTTCACGGTGGAAGGAGGCAAGTAGTCCACCTGCAAGGCCTTCTGGATGCGAGTGATCTCTGACAAAACCAAACGAATGTCTTCGTTGACTTTCTTTTTCATGAGCTTTACGTCCTGCTGTATGGGTCCAACACCATCTGTTTGCTGCACGAGCAGGAGCATGTGCTCTTCTTGGTTGGCCATCTTCACATCCAAGGTGTGGTTCAGGTCAACATAATGCTTGTCATCCTGCTCCTGCACTCGGAAGACTTCAGTGGTGACTTTGTCCGCAATACTTTTCAATTGATTCTCCAGGCCGATGATCGTGGTAATGCCTGGTGCAACTGGTACAGTGTGGAGGGAAGGTGTGGTGCAAAGGAGTATAGTGTCGGGGCCTGTCGATATTTTAAAATCATTAGAGAGTTAGACTTATATTTAGCTACATGTTTGTATGATATATATATATATAGATAGATAGATATGTGTGTGTGTGCATGTATGGGATATAGCTAAAAACGTTTATTTTAAAAAATTGACATACTCAAACACATTCTCTGAAAGAAAGGATGATGAGAGAACACGCCCATTCAATATTGCAACAACCAGGCCAGGCAGTTTCACACCGAAAACGTCATAGGTCGGGATAGCCTCAGCAAACCTCTGTTGTGACACTACTTGCTCAAAGAATCGGCCGGCAATCAAAGCGCTGAACCCTGATCCGAGTCCTTCATTGCACTGGAGCGTCTGCTGGTCCAACTGCTGCAATGCAGCAGAGACTTGGTTCGACGAGCTCTTCATCTGTTCCTCGAAGTTAGAGCGCACGAGACTCAATTCTTCTGAGACCCGGCTCTCCTGGGCCCGAGGCAAAGCCATCCCACGGGCGGCTCAGAGAATCTTTGGGGTTTAGTTTTCACATCTTCACACCATTCCTGGCCGTGGAACTAGGACAATAATAATCACTGGGGTTCTTAGAAGCTTGGCAGCTTTATAGACAGATCTGTTGAACAGGTGTGTGCGGCACGGTGCCAAGAATAAAGCACTTGAACGTCATTAGCACTGGCCCAGGCTCCAAGCCAGCCACTTGCTGCGTGCTTTGACTTTGAAGCGTCTGCGATTCACGATCCACTTGGGCAGAGATGCCCGTGACAATCTCCTTCAGCTTCACAGTTTCTGGAGGCCCCATATTCCAAGACTTCTTAGACCCCATGAAGACGGGAGAAAAAGACACAGCAGTCAAAGGCCCTATCTTCTCTGCTCCCCGCTCTCCCGTCCTTCACCGCATCGATCTCCGACCGCAACGCACCATGTGTGTCGCTCATCTTCTCCTCCAAACGTCTCATGGATTCCTCGAGCCGCTGCACGATGTCCACGGTCAAATCGCGTGCAGCGCCCAGGTGATCTCCCAACATCGCGTTCACCTGCGGTCATCGGACGACGCTCAGCGAGGGATACAAGGGATCAAAGAGATCTTTGGGTGTTCAAGACCTTTGGGAGTGAGCCAAGACCTTTGGGAGTGAGCTAGGCGTGTTGAATGGTGTCAATCATAGCTCACACACCAGTCAAATGGGCCAATGAACACCTGATGTGTCCTGATCTCATCGTGCATCATTCAATTCAGTGTATCATGATCAATCTTTCCCGCACAGGTCTTCCACAGTATTCTCTTGGCCTTCTGGCATCATCCGGGTGGATGCTTTAGGCCGAGATGACCAACGACCGACGGCCACGTTCGGGGGAAGCGTGCGAGCGAGGCACGAAAAGCTGCGCAGTTCCCACCGTAAGTTCGTACGGCACCTTTGCTACTAGTAGCTTCTTGTTACAAGTATATAGTAATTAGTAATGCACTTAGCTACTAGTTGCGTCCTTGCTACTAGTAGCGATGCACTTGTTCCTAGTAGCTTCTCGTTTCTAGTAGTAAATGCCAGGAGCTACTAGTAGTTTCTTGCGGGGCCTTGCTACTACTAGGTTCTTTCTGCTAGTGAGATGTGTGAAGGGTGTGTTGTGGGTGACGCATACAGCTAACCTTGGGCTGGTACAATTGCGCATTCTTACTTCGTATGAAGTAGCAAATCTTCGGCGCTGGCTGGTGGAGCCTGGGTGTTTACTGAAGTGTGCATGGTGGTGATGATATGGCATGGTGCAGCCCGTGAGTTTGGACGATGTGGCGGAGTCTTGTCAAGTGGCGGTTTCTGCAGATGTGTGATAGCTACTAGTAGTAATGCCCTCAGCTACTAGTAGCTTCTTGCTACTGGTAGCGATGCACCTTGTTCCTAGTAGCTATTTGCTACTAGTGGCAATAGTTTTCCCATGGTGTCTCTCACTTTTCTTACCTGTCTTGGTTTTGCCTTCCTTGCCCTTGCCTCTGGCATTCTTTCCGATATTTGCCACCACCATACCTTCCAAAAAGAAGCCAACCGCCTCTCTTGCCTTTGTCTTGCTTTGTTCTGGTGGCTTCAAAGTTCCATCGTGTGAAGCGAGTGCACCTTTTTGCTGATTGGTATGGACACACTGTGCTCCGACGTGGTTCGGACATAGTGACTGATAAAGTGATACACATTGAAATCCACACCCGACCAGGACGGATCAGGTGGAGTTCAGCCCGGCAAGGGGCGGATCTAAGTCATCCAAAAACAGGCCTTGAGCGCTTGAGCTACCTTGACCCACTCCTTTGCTAAAGAAAAGGCAACTCCAGCTAGCAAAAGCTTTCATGATCTTCCCCAAGCACAAGTTGGTCTCCCGGATTGAACGCCGGGCGTCCAGAATCCTGTCGGACAAAGGAGACATATTGACATGATTCACCCCCGATCTCTCTCACCAGCCTGCATCTGTTGATCCATGCGATGGCCCAAGTCCCAGTGAGAGTGTGTGAGCAGCTCTCGCATCTTCCCAAGAGCGTCCTGGTGTTGGGTGTGGGGACCTGGTGGGGCCTGTATGGCTTTTGGCCAACCCTTCTCCTTCTCAGCATGCTGCAAATTCTCCACCACCATCAGCAGCTTGGCCGCAATGGGATGCTTCGTCGCACTGGCCTCACCCCTTAAGAGGTTCACGGCCTGTTGGATCTCCGCTCGCAGGTCCCCCACCAGAAGTGCCACGCCTTGTTTGCCTCGCAAGCCGGTGACAGTCCCTTCGAAAACCCCTCAACATCGGGGGCCCAACGTCATACCCGTGTAGGTGCACGCGTGTAAGTCCTTGCGTTGCATGTGCGAATGAATGTTGCCCGTACACATGCCAACAGCATTGATTGCCAGAATTACTATGTGGCAGGATTGCTGCCATTTTTTTTGAAAAGTTCTCTTTTCAGCCGATCTGCAAAGCTCGAGGCCATCAGTCTCGGGCTTCACCGCCTTTTGCGAGAAGGCTTCCAATCCCGATGGCGCCGTGTCTGTGCGGCGGGCCCTCGGTGTGGCCATAGCTGCTTTGGAGCCAACTGCTGCGACCACTTTCGGAAATCGTATCGGCGCTACACCGGATGCCCGCGCCACACCGTAAGGCAAGTGACTTTGGTCAAAAACGTCCCACGTTTCGCACTCGCAAAAGAAGCTGATTGCTGATCTCCCAGAATTCGCTTTTGGAACACTTAGAATTCTCAAGGAGATCTTGGTATGTCTTGGAAATCTGTGGGGCCTAGGCCCTCCCGCCTCGTTGTCTGGGGACAACTTGGCTTCAAGGCCCTTCACCCTGGGCACGGCCGCGTCGGCCCGAGACTCGAAGACGACCGGTGTCGCGAGACGCGAGACACGAGACACGTGTGTGAGACCTGAACCGGGCTTGGTATGGACCTGCCAGGAAGGGAAGACGACCGGCCTTGGTGGTTTTCAGGTTTCTTCCAGTGGGTCTCTATCTCATGTTCGTGTCCTGTCACCTGCGGTGACACCTCCAAACGGGCCACTTCGGTCCTTTCTTTCATCACGGTCACTACCGGACGGGCTCACAGGGATCAACTGAAAACACCCACCAAGCACAGCGACCTCCACCTGATCTCACCTCTCCCTACCATACTCACCTGATCTCACACCGTCCATTCCCATGCCCATCGCCAATTGATGGAGTGGCCTTTCGGCGTCGAAGGCACCTGTACCCCAAGCTGCAGGCAGCTGGCTAGCTAAGTCGGCCCACCACGCAGGGTCCTGAAGGACTGGCTAAGTCGGCCCTGCTAGCCATGTGACAATTACAACCAAGGCCAGTAACCATAGCACTCCTGTGGTGGCCAAGGAACTGTGGAAGACCTGAGCATGTGCTCATCTGCCGATCAACATGCTACCGCACACCTGTAACGTTGAGCTTCAAAACCTTTAGGTTGAGGCTGCCAAACTGGTAGCGCATAAAGGTGTGAAGAATCCTAGCTAGTGGCAGTTGGCTTCCTCGTTGTAGCATCACAACTCAGCATCACAGCTACTCAAATGAGTTCGCAGCCAAGCGGGCTCTGGCCATGCTTCGGTCGATTGTGCTACGGGGCTCTGCTCGCCGTTCCTTGCGGGCCGACTGGGTGGCCCAGTTCGATTCGGAGTTGAGCTCAAATCGGGGTGGAGGACGCAACTAGGAGCAACGGGCATCGCTACTAGGAACAAGGACGCTACTGACGCTACTATGGGGCTCCTGGCCTTACTACTAGGAACAAGAAGCTACTAGGGGCTCCTGGCATCGCTACTAGGAGCAAGGACGCTACTAGGAGCAAATCTGTGCGGACACCCGCCATCTGACTGGGCGCCAAGCCATTCCTCCTGCCATTCGTCCCGGCATTCTTCCCGCCACCCTTCCCTCCACTTCTCCGGCCTCGTTGGAAGTTGGATGGGCGCCCAAAGCGAGACATATGTTCACGTCTCACCATTTCTTGAGGAAGCAATCTCGTTCAAAAACTCATGGACACCGCATGCAGCTATCCAAGTTCTGTCATGTAGTCTAAACTTTACTAAACTTTTTTCTGCCATTCAGTTCACCGGCTAGAAACACGTGACCCATCATGGGTGACAGGCTTCATAGACAAGTGATCAGTCCAAAGAACTGATTGATTCAGTCTGAGGCGCAAAGAAATGAACATCAGCTCTGGCGTCTACTGACACAAAGAGTTCTACGCATTCTCCTTCCAAGGTCGGGACTCAGGCGGTCTTTTTCAGAACCCTGGAACTGCCACTGTTCCATCTTCAAGCACTTCGGGGTCTCTGAAATTCCCCGTCTCCGACTCCCTCTGCACCAGGCCCCGACCGGGCCGGTGCGTCGCTGTAGCCGGTCTTGGCGCCTTGGCTGGCCTCGGTGGGACAGTCGCCCTTTGCTCCTGGTGGCGTCCCTCCTAGCAGTACGGCCAGGAGCCCCTAGTAGCGTCCTTGCTCCTAGTAGCGATGCCAGGAGCCCCTACTGTAGTAGCTTATTGTTCCTATGGCAAAAGATCTGTTTGGTGAAATCCTATTGAACTTGACCCCAAACAATTTATTTCGTGCATCAGCGCACGTTGATGCACTTGTCCAAAGAACACCGAGCATTAGTTGACTTATAGTATCTTTTATCCAATGCTGGTCCGTTGCAGGCTGGCAGGCAGGCTGGCAGGCAGGCTTGCAGGCCTTCCCCACAAAACACCTTGCTTGGTCGCCCCACTGTGCTGGGCTGGCCTTTGCCCGCCCTCGGCTGCATTCACCTGGACTCACCTGGTCTTATCGGATGCGTTTGGGAGACAACTGCAATGTAATGCCCGCGATGGCAGAAGGATCGTGAGTCTTGAGGTACAATCGCATCATCTACCATCATGCGCTGCTCCAGGACTTGAAGTCAGGGGCTGATTGTGGGCATCTTGGTAAAATGACCGAGAGCGACATGAAAAACACACGGATTGCTTTGCTTTTGTAATTGGCTGAGGGGAATCACCAAGGACTTAACCTGACACGGCTATCCAGCCCCACAGTCAGTCTGGAGTCTATATATGATATGATATGCATAACCATGCGGCACCCCAGATCCATCAGTTTCTCTATCTGCTTGAACTCCACCCCTTCACCAAGGCCCCGAGCTGTCCCGCGTTCCCACCAGGGCATCGACGAAGCATTCTACCAAGCATTCTGAGCCAAACCAAGACATGCATGCCTCTCAAGGATGCGAAATCACATGACATCACCAATCCTCAAAGTGTCAAAGCCCCAGATCTGAGGCTTCGCTAGGGGTGAAGTATCCAAAACCCGCTCTTGCTTGGCCAGGGGTGCTGCCTCAAAGGCTGGCAACTCTGAACAGAATACATGAAAATGAAGGAACCTAAACATATCGCTTTGACTATGTCCCCTATCCTGCACGCGGCTTTTTCTTCATGAGTTGATGTATAGACCATTGACCAAAGCTAGCAGCCAACCTGCAAAAGAGCGGACAACATTCAGCAAAAAAGTATTTTAAAAAAATATATATATAATAGTAAAATAAAACTTATGAACGGCATCTGCACCATTCTGCACCCCACTGTTCCGAAAATTCGAAATTCCCAAAATGCTGAGTGGAAATGGAATGCAAGAAGGATTTCCTTCCAGCACTCAGTCAACTGTTGAGCATGCCAACATGCAAAACCGGTTGGGCATGCTATTTGATACCACCAATCTGTGTAGCGACTTTACAGTACAGGCTGGCTGGGCTGCCCAACCTCCGCGCCTCCCACTGGGCGTGGACTTGAAAGCGTGCGGTGCGCTGTGCATTTGGTGCCACTCCATACCCGGGTCCGGTGACCAGCTCCGCTGACCCACGGGACCAGCTCAGTGACCCACGGGACTCGACCTTTGATGTTGTGAACAAGGGTACACGGTACACTGGTACACGTTTGCTGGGTGATCGAGCACATGTCTGTGCCAAAGCCACTGGGATTGGGAAATGTATGTATCAAGGTTCCAAGCTCTTGTGCTTTGAGTCGCCTCCCATCTGCTCTGCAACAAGTGCTGCTCTTCCGCGATCTCCCAAATTGAGTGCACCTCAATCAAAGCAGTGACCACCAAGTGGCTCTCCAACAAACCGGGAGGAGTGCAGGATTGAAGGTATATAGGGCACCAACAGGTCAGGATAAAATTCTGACCCTTCATTTCACAACAAACTAACACAACTAGCCCCAAGCAACTCCAGAAATGCACAAGAAAACCTGCACGCTGCTGAATGCAAACCAATTGTTTTGACTGCTAGCGCGCCGTGGTCGCCTCGACGACCGTGGTCGCGACTGCAAGAGGCGGGCACGTGGCCCGCATGCCGGCTACCCCAAAAAGAACTATGTGACAATGGAGCGCTCGTCACTGGACTTTCTGCTACGTGCCGTGTTCAGCGGCCAGATCCAGTGGTTGGGCACTAGGGCACAAGCGGCTGGCAAAGAAGGTTTCATGTAACAACCTAAATCAGAAACGGTACAGCATAATGACAGAATGTTAAAATGAACACCAAACAACGCAAATTGAATGTCCCGGGCTGAGTGCTCTGTTCAATGCCAGCGTCTACATGCCCAGGTAACGGCAAGTCATTAAGGTCGGAAAACTCTTGGTCTTTGGATGCAACTTTAAACTCAACTTCTACCCTCGCGCTGTGAGAAGCGTCACACGGACAGCTGTGGTCGGGGAACATCTGTTTGAGGAGCATGGCCTCGACATGGGCGGCGCTTGTGATCGACATGGAAGACACCACAAATTTTTGCAAGCACTCGAAATTCCTGGTGCAATTGAGCAATTCCGTCTTAGGAAGGCAGCCAGGGCTAGGTTCCCCGGCCAGGAAAAGCAGCTCAAGCAGGGAAGTAGGTGGCCAGCACCTGGAGCCAACCCAACCGGGAAGAAGAGCTCGCCCCCTGGAAATCGAAAAAGGTTCTTTGGCTCTTTGGAACTTACGTACTTTTCCAACAAAGGTGGTGACTCTTGCCAATTGGAAGAGAAGGGTGGTCCCATCACTGCAGTGCCTGCGTCGCATCTTCCCTTGCTGCAATCACCTTGCAAAGCACTCGCCATTACTCGAAAGGGTGTCGCAACTCCAAACTTCACTTTGCCGGAATGTAGGCTCTGATCTCTTCCAAGATCTTTCAATATCATAATGACTCTGAAAAAAGTGGAAGGAACTTGAGGCCGAGGGTAGGTGACGAAAGCTAGCAGGGGTGCATCCGGACTGGTGGGACATCAAGCGGATTGAGGCAAATGCTCATGAAGTAAAACGTTGTGAACATGTAAGACACACAAACAGCAATGACACAGCCAACCTTAGAATTGAAGTCCCCGATAATTAAGGAAGCGTGGCTGGACTTTGCCACACTATTCGATGCATCCGATGTGTTTACGAACCTGTGAGCTTGTTGAATCTGTTGCACCGTATCCCGGAGGAGTTAAACCAAAGTGGATGCCATAAGAGGTGCCCGAGAGGTGTCCCAGAGGCGTCCCAGGGGGGAGTTGAACCCACCGGGGGGGGGGGCCCTACATATGAAGTTTTCACGTGATGCGGCGATCTCGAGGATTCCGGCCCCTCACTTGCTAAAGCAAGGACAACTCCAGCTAGCTGGTGCTAGCTTTCGTGAACAATCACATAAATCACAGTATATTTGGTGACACCCGGCCACGGCCACGCACGAAAAAGATCCCCCCCCTCATGTGGTGAAGGTACTAGGACAACTTCGATCCAGTTCGACCTGCATCTGTGGTTTCAATTAGGTCTTAGGTGCGTTTCAGGCCAAAACTCGGAGTAGATGCCATTTGTTCCTTCAGACCCTTGTCTCGCCCAAGGAACTGCGGCTCGTGGGCCGCTCATGCGGAGCTGCTTCTTGTCCGGCGAGAGCTGCGGGCGGGGAGGGAGGACCCGAGCAGGTGGGGAGGTCGAGCTCCCCGGAGTCGGGTCTGCTCCGCGGAGTCGGGTAGCGCGGGCCAACACTGTTTCTTGTCCACATAGTTTCATCAAAACGAACGAAAACGGAGGCAAACCCGGACAGCGTCATTCATGCTGAAAGAAGCCGGAGCCACGTGGCAAATCGTCGAAAAGACCACGTCCGAACTCCAACCCCAAATCGAAAGCACGCACTTATGTCGAACGCCCACCACACCCCCCTGGAAGGCCTTGAAGTCCACCTGGTAATCTGGTCCGAAGCTGGCAAGGTCTGCTTGCAAGGCAGTCCAATCAACATCTTTGGCTCCAACGGGTACTGTGCCACTGGCATGACATTTCGGTTCCTTGGCGGTGCCGCCCAGGAGAACCACCAAGCAGTTCCGGCACTCTGCCGACACGACCAAGACACACAAACCACACGACCGACGCGATTTGCGTAGTAGACTGGTCCACCAATCAAGCAAAGTAAAAAGCTGCCTGCCGCAACCTGCCTTTCGTCGTCGAAATGAGCCTGTATAGGTACTACTGTATATGGTACTATTTGGTACTATAGGTACAGTATCTTCATCGAACCAAAAACCATTGAGGTAAGCGTCTACCTCAACCTCCACCCCATCCTCTAAGCAGTCGATAAACACCGGCTCACAGTCCTCCATCTCCTGCAGCTCACGGTCACGCGTGGGCACTAGCGCTGGATGTTAAGAGTTCTGTTCGATGGAATTGGCGGCCAAAGCATGCGAAAGCTGTCCCAAGTATCGATGGTTCCGGACGCACCCAGCTCCTGCAAAGACTTGCCACCAATTGTAGAGATGCAATCTCCAGGCCCCAAACCATCTTGACCCGACTCATCATCGATTTCTTCGATCACCATGCCGTACCACGTAGCATGCCTTGGCGTGGAAAGCCTCTTAGTTAGATTGGCTGCGCCAGGGTGAAAATTTGGAGGGTGTTCAGTCCACTAATTATTCGCTAATGGATCTCCTCAAACTATATCTTCATCGATTCAGGAGAGAGCAAGCATGAAGCTTTGCACAGTCTGCTGCACAAACAAGAAATCAAATTCTAGGAACACCTGCAACGCTTTAGACTCACACTTGGAGCGTTCTGGAATCCAATACCCGTTCGGACCCGTTATATCTAACCATCAAACCCCATCGTCACACTATAGACTATAGTGATAAACTGATGTCGTGGTGTGACTTGGCGGCCCACCCGACCCTTGCGAATCCTTGTGTCGTTTCCACCGAAGGCACGCGTCGAAGCCTGCACCGAGCTCCGGATCCACTTTCAGCCGCACGAGGCGAGGCGGCTCCGCCTCGGCACCCTCCGGCGGGTCGAACCTGGGATCCGACGCGACCACGAGAATCTCCGTCATGTCATGACCTCTACAGGCAACTCACCAAGTCCCTACCCAAAAGCATGAACTAAATTGGGGACTAAGGCGTTTCCCTGCATATAGTTGGGCAAGCTATGTATAACCGGATTCGGTGGCCATACTGACGTTTCCGAACTGCCTCCCAAACAAATAACCCCAAAAAAACTGCCATTTGGACCCTTGTCCGGCACTTCGCACAATCAACATCCCACACATTCCAAACCTTTTAGCTCACAGCCGCTGAAAGCCTCGTTTCTTCGCAGCTTTCCTCTGTTCCATGCGCCTCCGCTGCTCCTCGGGGTCCCGCTTCTCGGCCGCAAGCTCGGAGCGCAGCGCTGCCAGCTCCGCGGCCAGCGAGCCGGCCTCGTTGCCGCTGATGCCGCCGGCAGCCCCTCGGAGTGGGCGGACGCGAGAGAACGCCAGGTGTTCTGCGAACGAACGACCCTGTCGGATGAGCAAACCATGGTTCGACTGCTATGTCGTCGTGAATGATGACTCGAATCTCAGCATCACTCAACCCCCTCCCTCACAGTTAGTCAACTACTCTCTACCATCATCCGAAATCTGAATCCATCTATTTCCCCGCATGTACAAGACATCGCTACTAGGAGCAAAGACGCTACTAGGGGCTAGTATCCTCTAATTCGCCCAGGTGGCGGAACTCCGCCAGCGCGGCCGTGGCCTTGGGCAGGTCGCGGTCGGCCACCGCTTCCCGCGCCTTGGCCTCGAGCCGTCGCAGCAGCTCCTGGCGCTTCCGCTCGCGCTCAGCTGCTGGGTCGGCCACGAAGCGCTGGGCCGCCAGGTAGTTGGGCCTCGGAACGCTGAAACTGTGGGAGGGAAATGGCTCAAGAAGCTACAAATTGTTGGAACGCCACAATTGTTGATGAGATGCGTTCTTGTCCTTTGGCCTTAGGCTCTCCCTAGACCTGTTGACTGCGATCAGGCAAACAAACCGTTTGCAATGCATGACAAACAGCATTCACAGACAAGGGGCTCATTCTCCAATTCCTTTATTCTTGCCAGCAAAGGTCCCTTTTGCTTCTTCGAAGTCTTCTTCGATTCCGTGTTGAGCTTTGCAATCTCTGCCTCCACCTCTGCCACGATGCGTTTGGCCTCCTTGAGATCTTCATCCTCTACACCCAAGCGGTTCGACAGCCGATCGCGCTCCTCGGTCGAGAGGCCTACGCCTGCCACAAAGTCGTCAAAGAACTCAATCACCTCGGAGAGCAGCTCGGCACCCTGTTCTCTGCACCACTCCTCAGGAGCCCGTTCTCCACGTTGAATTCAAGGGTACAAACATGCATAAACATCTATAGACATAGTATATATTTGTTATACGATAAAATGTTCAGGGTGTTGGACGTGGGGGAGGTCCCAAAAGGTAAACCCCTAGAGGCAAAGGGATATTTTCTGAGACTCCGGCTTTGCATGGAGCGATACACTCAACAAACCTTAGCCCAAGCTACTTGCAAATTAGATTGAACAAGTCACCCAGTCCTCTGCGATCTCAGCATGCTCTCCTAGGCCTGCTTCCTTCATAGCCGAGAGCAAGTCAGCCACTCCTTCGCCAGCTTCATCTGCCTCCGGAGCTCCGACCTTTTCTTCAGCCTCTGACGTTGGGGCCTCGGCCACTGGAGCAGCGGCTGTCAGAGGCGGAGCGGCTGGAGCTGGTGGAGCGGCTGGAGCCGCTGGAGCTTGTGACGTTGGTGGAGCAGCCTGGGCTTCCAACAGCTCTGCCTTCATCACTTCCATCTGCTTGGCTGTCATTGCTCTCAGCTCCTCGGTTGGACTCCGCATGGACACACAGCAGGCCAACAAAAGGTTGACAGGTCAACAGGGTTCCAATGCGAGCGTCTACTCCACAAGCAGAAAACAACAAAAGCACAAAGCATGGATGGGTATGCTGCTATGTTCGTGCATTTACCAGCTTCTCCTGCCTCCAACTCGGACTTCAAAGAATTCGCTTCGGCAACAATCTCCGAATTTGCGGCCTCACTCTGCTCCTTTTCCTTCTTGCTCTGCTCCTCCTGCTCTTTCTGCAAGCTTTGGAGCTTTTCCAACTCCCCTTTCAAGCTAGCCGCCTCTCGCTGGGACTCCTCGAAGGACAAAGGATCGCCAGACCACACACCCCAACGAAACACACCAAAGCAGTTGAATAGGAACTTTTGAACAAAACTGATTGGAGGTTCAATGGCTAAGCCTTTGAGCATTGTTGACTCCCGTTGCTCCTGCACTTTGCTCTGCTCCTGGGCCAGCTCTTCGTTTGCTTCAGTTAACTTCTGGGATTGTTGCTCAAGCTCTGCAGAGAGGGCTGCCTTGGCATTTTTTTCGTCCAAGGCTGAAGCCTTCTGCTTCTCGTTTGCCTTAGCGTTGACAGCCCGCAACTTGCTCAGAAAATCTTTGAGGCGAAAACTGCAAAGACTTCCAAAGCTTTGGGATATGCGCGGGGCGCATCTAGCACTTGGCATCAAAACAGGGTTCCTTTACACAAAGGTTCGCCAAGCCTGAGCCATTTCAGACTTCATCTCTTCCAGCTCCTTCTTCAGGCCCTCGACAACCCTTTCGGCCTTCTGCCTCTCCGCTTCAAGGCTGGCTTGTTGCTGACCTCACGGGAACAAATGGCTCACCATGCACCAAGGTCCGTAGTGAGAAACACCCAGGTCACACCTTCACAGAAGATTTTGCTCTTGATGTGGTTAGACTGGGTCATTCTCATGGCTTCTTTCTGTCTGGCCCGAGCGGCGAATTTCCTCCAAGTTGGCATCCTTCTCATCCAACTCGCTTTTCATTTTGGCTTGCTGCAGGCGCTCCCCCTGAACCTCATGCAAGGTCTGCAAAACGAGGTCTTCAACCCGCGAACGGCAAACAGTCAAGACACTTTTCTACATCTTGATGTAAGTGTTCCTACATCTTCTTACTTTCGCATTTCCTTCGCAAGGGCCATGCTCATCAGCTTCCAAGAAGTTCAACAGCCCTCGCTAAGCAATGATGGCTGATCTTCCAATGATTGGGATGATGTTGCTATCACAAATCCCGTTCTGACGCAACTGCGTTCAGGCCAAAAACAATACCTCAAGCCTTCCCACTTGATGAACCAGCAAAATTCAAATGAACCAGCAAAATTCAAAACGGGAGCATCTCAACATTTGACACAGACTTCTCCCAACAGGTCACCTCTTCTAGGAGCTCTGTCTTCTCAAGTGATGCCTGGTCTGCCTGACTTGCTGCCTTCTTTACCGCTTCTGAATGCTCCTGTTTCCAGGAGATAATCTCTTCCTGAAGCTCGGCAGATCTTGCGCTGGCATCCTCCGAGGTTGGTTGCCAGTCAGTCACTCGGGCAGTCCAAGATCTCAGACCCTTCGCCCTGGTGGGCTAATATAAGTTGAAGGAAGAAAGCGCATCATTCGTGAGATTTCAACTCTGTCGCACCAAGCCTTCACTATGCTCAACCCGGTCCTTTTCTTCTGCCTGGCGGGCATCTGTCTCCACAGCCATCGCATCTTTCAGCTGCTGAATCGTCGCATTGAGATGCTCCGCCGCGGAGGCTGCAGCAGCTGCGTCTGCTGCAGCAGAATGCCTTTCCTCCCGCTCGGAGGAGAGCTCCGCGCGAACTTGGCCAAGCTCGGAAGCTAGCCCAGCAACATCTTCCTGCGGCGTGCAATCTCCCGCAAAAGATGTGGTTTCCGAATGGTGAAACCATGTGAAGCCCCTGGGTTTCGGTGTTGCATATCTTGTAAGCGAAACACAGCACACAAAAAGAATCACTTTGTACATGTATGACTGTGTGACTGTGTCCTTTGCACTCATTTGCATTCGGCAAGTCCTTCATCTTGGCTTCCAAGCCATCGCCACGCTCCACGGCGGCCGCATGCTGAGACCGCAAGGCCTCCATCTCCGCAGCCAACCCAGAAGCATCCGCCGAGGCCTTGGCGAAGTCGGCCTCCTTCCGCTCCAAAGCAGCATCGTGCTCCTGCACTGGAGGAGCAGAGCACGAAGAGTAAGGTTCATTCTCACACCAACCATAACCTCTTTGCAAATGATTCATTCACGCAAAATCCCATTCTCTCCTCCTTCAGCTCCTTCAAGTCCGATGCATGCTGCATAGTCAGATCAGTCAATTCTTGATTCAATGCTTGCCTCAGTCCAACGACACGGCTTGGAGAAAGATTCCTTCACCCCAAGCTAGCTGGAAGCACTAGGCGAGCACTTTCTGGAAGCGCAACGCCACTGCTGAACAGTCGATAAAGCAAACGGTTGGTGAACTACCACCAGCACAAATCCCATTACACCGATTCTCATGTAAAACCAAATATATACATATACAAATATATATATATATATACATATTTGTGGGTATATGTATACATAGCGTCATACGCGTGATCAAAATTGCCTAGCAGCGATGCAATGCATGCATGACGACCTTACCTGCGTGCACATTGCCAAGGCTAGTGACTAGTGCCATGGCCCATGCCTTGAGCCACTTCAAGTCGCTTGGACAAGCCAATTCTTTGATCTCTTTATCGTCGATTCGGATCCCCAACTCTGCTCTCAGCTTTGAGCACAGTTGGCGCACTCTTTTCAGAAGTTTCCACGGTTCGAGTCCTACTTTAGCAAAAAGCCAAAGCCGCTCAATCACCAAGACAAGACCCTTCCCCCTTTGCGCAATCTTGTCTCAGAATGTCCCAGAATAATCGTTCTTCCACCTTATATTTTGCATGGAACCATGGAACACGGCATGATGTACTTTTTAAAAATGCAAACACATTGAACACCCGGCACACACCCCCTGGCCTTGCAAAAAAGTACAGAAAAGTATATACACAGCACCCGGTAACAGCCAAGGGACAAGCGCGACCTCTGCGCGCTTTGCTCGTGCGTGGCTTCCAAGAGCTCCGAGCTAAGCTGCGCCTGGACAAGAACCGAGCGGATGCGCATGTGTTCACTTGCCCGTCATTGCAAAGAAAACTTCTGCAATCTCCTGCCACACAGGATCAGTTTAGAGGGGTTACGTGCTTGTCGGGAAATGTTTATTTGGTGTGGCAGCACGTGGGAACCCAGCCCAAATAAAGCACACACAGCCGGAACGAAGCGCCACAAAATGTCCTGGGCCTGGTCGGCCTGGTACACAGCGTTCCGATGTTTCCAAATTTGAAGGAGTCCGGTTTGAACCAAACATGCCGTGACCACCCCTCAAACGTGGCTTCAAGCTTGTTGTGCTTGAAGGCAGTTGGGGTTCCACTTTGTCCGATTGACCCGACCAGATGCTCCAAGACCCAATCTGGGCGCTCGTCCGGGCGCTTGCCTTCTCCAGGTCCAGCCGCTCCTTTGCTGTCTTCTCCTCCTGGAAATGTCCCAGGAGCTCTGCTTCGCACTCTTTGGCACTGTCCAAAGCCTGAGCCAAATCTACCAAGCCAAAAGGATGGGCGTCCAAGAGGTTCCAAGAGCTGTGTGCAAGAGTTGAAGACGCAGCCTGAAAGGAGGAACACTATCAAAAGAATCAGCTTCAAGGAGTCTTCGAAAACATGTTCAGAAGAATCTGCCCAAAATGTACCCAAACCTTGGCTGCCAATGTCAGTGGCAAACTGGTGCGCGATGAAACTGCAAAGAGTGAAAACCATCAAACGCGTGCATCGCCATGTTTCTTCACATCCAATGCATATGGACACCGTTCATGCCACTGACACTTCGGGACCACGCCTCCTGGAGCTTGGCCGCCGCGGCCGCCGCCTCGTCCTTCGCGGTCTCAGTGCCTTGAAGCTGTCCTGCCGTTTCTGGGTCTGGGAGTGTTCAGCAAAGTCCACGTGTTCAAGGCAATAAAGACTACAGCGAACATGAACATGCTTAAACATGCATGAACATGTGACTGCTTCATGCTTCCTTACAGCTTCCTTCTGCCTCCACGGAGCGAAAGCAAATCAAAAGAATAGTGCCGCGTCGGCCTTGCAGCTCAGCTAGTGCCGCACTCGCCAACTCTTCATCCTTGCTTGCTTTCTCTTCACCAGCCGAAAGGGAGGCGCGCAAGGCATCCATCTCCTGGAAATCTCAGGCAGTTCAACATGTCTTTTGTGCCCTGGGGCAGGAAACTTTCTGAGCAATGACCTTCCAGAGATCAGTCTAAGTTGAAAACGACTGAGCGCTCCTAGGTGATAGATGAGTTCGTTTGGTTCGTTTGGTTCAAGCATCAGGGTTCCTTCAACCAGTTTCAGGGAACCCCTTAAGTCTAGCCTGTGTACCTTGTGAACCTTGGAGGGTTGACACCCTGCTAAGCCGCTACAGTTTACTAGGGTGCGTTGGGCCTCTTGCCCTCTCCTTCGCATGAGCCTCCAAGGAGCTTTCCAATGCCACACCTTTGCCAAGCTCTCTGTCAAGCTCCGACTCCAATGCTGCGATCCTCTCCGAGAAGTTCTGCGCATCACGCTGGGCCTCGCGGCCGCCAAAGGTCAAAGCGCTTGAGAAAACATTAGACGAATATGCATGTTAGCAAGAATACTGTTCGCTCAGGTCGGCTTCTGGGGGATTCTAGCTAGTGACTCCAGAACGCCACAGCCACCCCTGCTGATCATGGCCTCTTCCGCCGCCTTTTGTTGCGCTTCAGTTGCATCACTGTAGTTACCTTGGAGATCCTTCCAAGCACATGAGTGCCGAGGCTTCGCTTGTGGTAAAAACGACATGACAACTAGGGTGGGATGTTTACAATCCCACCCACCCTCCTATTGACAACAGAACGTGTACCTCACGAACTATTCTTTTTGGTCGGTTGTCTGGTTGGCTTTCCTGCCAACAAACTTCAAGTTCTTCACAAGTCAGGTGGAACTTGCCTTGACCTCCTCATTGGCTGTGCCGCAAGTTCTTCTCAAACACTTCTTGCATTTTCTTTGTGCCACTGTCAGCTGTGAATTGAGGATTACCTTCGAGGAGTTCCGACTGAACGGCCATCCACACACGGAGGTCCAGGATTCAATGGGCACATCCCAACCTGCATCTTCCACTTGGTGCCATACACGCTCTCTGGAGTTGTAGGCCGTCGAAGCCACCCACAACTTCTTCGGCAGTGTCGTGACCACCACCTTGCATTTCTCTGTCCCCTTGTCCTGTTCCTCCGTGTCGATGTCCTTTGAAGGTGGCCCTGTTGACGGTCCTGGAGTCTCGTCCATCGTGATGGTGAGATTGTTTCCCTGACTCTTGGGTGGTCTTTTGGGCTTTCCCTCGTCGTTGGGCCTCAAGTTCCTATTGGCGGGTTCAGATTGCAATGCGTCCTCCGCATAGGTGAGTACGACTGATGATTTCCACCGCCCCAGGAAGGCCAACTCTTGAATGGGCATGCCAAGTCGCACATATCCCATTGCCCCGATCTTCTGGCTGAATGTCCTTGAATGTCCGGTCTTGTCACCATGGCCCAGCCTTCTACCATCTTCGCCTTCGACAATCTTTTGTTCTCAGCGTCCTGGAACACGAATTCTTGTGGATCTCTTTGTTCACCACGAAGGGCCTTCCATAGTTCCAGCCATATCTTCCAAGGGCACCACCTCTGGCATGTTCTGCATGAGCAGCACTGCAACGTCCTGCGAACTCCCAACGCCTGTTGGTCACACTTGGAGATGGGGATGAAGATGGAAACTCTCTTCTTGATCCAATCAGCCGTGATGTCCTTCCACCTCATGGCGCTTATGACTGCCCAGGCGTACGACAAAGCCAGTCTGATCGTCCTCTTAGGGCCGCGACATGTGAGGATCCATTTGATGTGCTCGATGTCGTCCAGCTTGAACTCCGGTGCTCTTCGAACTGGCCCCCTATTTCTCTTGAGCGATCTTTTCCAGTCAGCCAGGGCTCTGCTCAATTGTTGGCTGACATCCCAGCCAGCTTCGATGTGCATCAGCTTCAACTCATTGATGTATTGGCCCCCCGGAGGTCCAGCCCACCGCTTTTATCGCTGCTGCCACATTCTCCACCGTCTCGATTTTCAGCGGGAAGGGTCGACCTCCTTGACCACATGCCTCCATGGCCATCGTCAGCACTTGTTCTCTTTTGGTTTTCTGTGATGCCCTGGATGATTCAGCCATGAAGTCTTTCCTCAACTCCTGTCTAGCCAAGGCCAGTTTTTCTTTTCCTTTCAGGACGTCCATGACCTCTTCGAAGGAACCTCTCTTGATAGCTCCCTTATTCTCTTCCAACTTATCTTGTTGATCTGCTCTGCCATCGCCCATTCCTTCCCTTGGCTTGTTCTGATTCAGCTCCTCAAAATGATGAGCCTCGCCATGCAGTCTATTCCGAATTAACTCTTTCATGCAGTTCGAGGGGTCCCTGAATCCAAAGTTCATCAACCCCATAGTTCTCCTCGTGCTCATTGCATGCGGGAGCCACGTCGCAGCATGTCGAGAACATACTTTCTCTCCAAAACACTGCTCCAGGTTCACCTCCGCCCTCTCCTTGCTTCCTGGTTTCCGCGGAGTGTAGCACCAGCACAGAGTGTCCCACAGGCCCTTCAGGAGGCTCAACAAGAAGAATGCCCACCCGGCCAGTACCGCGTACTCGCCGCAGGACCACACCACGTCGTCCTCCCTCGTCGCCGGGTTTGGGGCCGACCTCACCATAACTTGAGCCATGATGAGCTCGCCCGGCGAATGTCGAGCATCCGATCAGAGCCGGTCGAACGAACGAAAACCGCCACAGCCTCGATCGAACGGCTCTTACCTGTCTCCCCCCCTCCCTCCCTCGGTCATCCCCCTCAAGCCGAGAATGATGGACGAACTTTTCATCCTCATCCCTTCAGAGCAGCTCGAAGGCTCCCGAGGTCTGCTGGGCCAAGGCTCCCCACAGTTGTGGTGCCATCCCGGGCGGAGACAGGTATGATCGGTGCATCAAGTTCCTTGGGAAAGTCTTGATGGGCACCTTGCTCAGCCGCTCAGGTCCCAGGTTTTGCCCCCCGTTCATGAGGACGCGAAAGCCAGTCTGCCTCCACATTCCAGTTGCCCGGAATGTGCTGCGTCACCACACGCTTGATGCCGGCCTTCTCGAACCTGATAGCCAATTCGGCTCCGACCCAGTTCACCACGGGAGATGGTGATGACAATCTCTTGGTCATGGCCAGGGCCACCACACTGTCGCTGCGTAGCACGATGCTCTTGCCTTCCAGTTTGGTGGCCCACCTTCTCACTGCTAGCTTGACCGCCCAAGCTTCCAGTGGCCCTTGCGATGCCGACTCCTTCCATGGGACGCCCAGCCACTTCGCATCAGCCTCCTCCAGCGGGATTTCCAGCCCCTCGATGATAGTGAAGGTTGGTCCCATGGTGTGATCCACCGTCGCCTAGTGCACCAATCCCTTGAGGGCTTGCGTCCGTCACGATGGCGTAGTCAGGCAGCAGCTCCACCATCGGCTCCGTCCTCAGGGCCAACACCTCGGGCTCTTTGAACAGCGTCACGAACCATTTCCTCGGGAGCTCCAGTCGTTTGACTGCTATGAGTCCGACCTTGGGTCTCTGGTCGACTCGCTTCGCTGCACGTTGCCTTTCTTCATCTTCGGAGCGCTTGGCATCGGCGAGCACGGCATACATTATCGAGACAGCCCACCGCGTTCTCGGGAGGATGCCCGCGATCCATGAGAGTCGCCCGGTCAGCTGTTGCACCTCCTTAAAGCTCACCATGCCCTTCGTCTCCCATGACTCCAATGCCTGCGTCACCTCGGCCATCATCTTCTTCGGCACCGTGAGCTTGACCACTGCCTCTGCCTGAATGACCTCAAACATCACCCCGATCCGGGTGAGCTGCGTTCCGCGTGAACCCTTATGCCAAGCCAGGTTGATGCCTAAGGCTCGTGCAGTGTACAATAACAGAGCCAGGTTTCTGTTCCTTCGGGAAGTCGGTCCACGAAGAATCCACATCGGGTCGTCCATGTACAGCTGGCTCTGTAGCTCTGATGGCGCGATGAGCGACTGCCAAATCCTTGCCAGGCACGCTGCAAACCTGCCCATTAATAGGGGTGCACCTTTGAAGCCAAAGAGCATTGCTACCCACATGAGCGTTTCCGATGGATGCAGCCCTGGGCTCAGGCAGTTGGCGTGCTCCTCGGGATGAACAGGCAAATGGCAATAGGCGTCACTCAGGTCCGCCGTCACCAGCTCGAAGTCGAAGATGCCCCCCCTCTGGTCGGTCTTCATCGAGCTCCCATTCGTCATCCCTGGACTTGCTCTTCATGCGGTCCCTGGTGCTCCACAAGTGCCTGAAGCCATCGATCACGTCCACCACCCTTGGCAGCACAATCCGCTCAGGTACCTTGCATCTGGCATTTCCGCCTGACCGTAGCAAGTCTATGATGATCCTCCGCTTGACGCTGCCGTCGTCCTTGTTCTTGATCAGGGGCGCCAGCTTCGAGACAATGCCTCTCTTGTGCACCTCCTGCGCCTTTCCCGTCGGGAGGACCACCGCAAAGCCTTCTTCCACCAACCGTCCAAGCTCTGCTCTGGCGTGCGCCGGCTCCTCGGTGAAGGACTTGTAATTGACCGTGCCTAGTTGGTCCGCAAGCTCTGGCATCTCTTCCATGTCCAACTCCGGGTCATCGGCCAACGGGAAGATACCGCAGCATGGTATCTCTTTGCTCATGCCAAGCGGGACCCCTTTACGAATCCACTCCACTATAGGTGTTTCTCTGGATCCGCTGCCGCCCTCAACCAAGCATCCCATAGCTCCGGATCCAAGGGTGACTCGAACTCGTACTTGTCCTTGAGGATGATGTCTGTGAAGGCCCTTGTTTGGAAGAACTGCTTCAATGCACCCTTCCACATCATCTCAATTTCCATGTCCGGCCTGTTCCCCTCCGACCCGTAGTTCTTGGCGATGTCCAGGGCCCTCGGGTATTCATACACGAAGCGGTCCCAAATCCGAGACACATCCATGCCCACTTGCCTCACTCTTGAGAGTCGTTCTACAGCACGTCCCGGATTTCTCATCCCCCCAATGAAGCGGCCATTTTCTTCCTCACGTCTTGCTTTCTTCGACATGCCAAGCTGCGGTCTGGTGTCTTGTGAGGCTTGTGAAGATTCCCATACTCGCTTTGACGGATCGGCCGCGGGTTGTCCATCGGGATGTCCCTGATAGATTCGCTCCTTGCTCAACAACCATTTTCGCTTCAATTCCGACACCTCTTCCGTCTTCGTGGCAAGTCTTTTGCGCCAGTACTCGAGCTGCAGCGTGTGCTTGAAGGCCGTGATGATCAGCTTGCAGTACTCCTCACAAAGCCTCCTCGGATATTGGGCTGCTTGAGCTGTGCGCTTCGATCCCACCAGCGGTTCGTGTCGGATCCATTGGCCGCAAGTGCAAGGTTTGCTCAACCTTTCAAGATCCAACAGTCGTCCAGCCCAGCGACCAGGTTTGTACCACCTGACACGTTCATCTCCTTGAAACGCACAGGTATTGTAGTCTGCCACCTGGCCCTCAAACACTTCCATGAATGTCTTGATTTCCGGAAGTTCCCAGGCCGGTCCTTCTTCTTTGGCGTCGCTTCCTGGAGGGTTTCCTAAAGTCCCGGCCTGTGGCACCCTGCGCTTTCGCTGGTCCTTCAACACGGCCCCGACGATCTCCACCGACCTCGAAGCCAACAACGTCCCCACATCGGCCTGCTGCTGCTCCTCCGGTGAGTTCGAAGGTAACCCATAGATGTGTTGAAGTGACCTGATGGGAGGAGGGCCTCTGTTGACCATGTTCCATCTAGCACGACTAAACGTGTTGCATGGAAACCCTGCGTGTGCTGCATCGAAGGCTGATGCATTCGCTTCCTCCCTGAGCTCCATAAAGGGATGGTCCTTAGTCAGGTCAACGTCGCCCTCGCCCTGCCTGTCCAGGCTGTAGACCTCAAGCTGTAAGCCTTCTCGCTGTGCCATTTCACTCAAGCACTTTCCCAATACATCCTCCTTGCCGCTGAACATATGGAGGAACCTGAATTTTCTCAACTCCTGGTACTCCGGGAAGTCCCTGGCCGCCTTGAGAGCATCGCTGATTCGATCGGGCAAGTCATCCAAACGTCCCTCTCCCCACTCCCCCTCACCCCGGATTCCCCCTAGAATCCACCCACGCGTGTCTGCCCATCCCCTCTCGCGAAACACAAGAGGTCAACCGCACCCTTTATCCCACTTCAGGGTCACACAGGGGGTGCGGTCTTCTTAGGACACTCCGCATTCGGGTGAGAAGGCAAGAGACACAACATGCACTTGTGCACCCTCTTGATCTTACCTTTGCATTCCGACCCTGCCGCTAAACCTGCACAAGGGCCAACGCTCTTCGCCCAGCTGTAGCAAATCTCTTGACCTGCTTGGTCCTTTCCTTTGCCTTTACTCTTGCCCTTGTTGAAGTCCCCCTTGGATCTTTGCTCTCTGAAACTCGACAGCTCTTCACGTTCAGCTGCCCATCGTTTGCGCTTCGCTGACCTTTTGTCTCTGTTGGCCTGCCTTCTGCGCTCGCTTCTCTCGTCACCATCACCATGTTCTACAGGAGGTCCAGGATGATGGGCCAAAGCCATGGCTTCTGCTGGAGGTCTTGGGGACCCATGCGATCCACTGGCCAACCAAGCTGCTGCAGGATGCCTCACCTGCTCGTTCCAAAAGATCTCGTCCAATGCCAAGGCCCTGAAACAAGCAGTCAAAGGTTCATCTTCAGAGAATTCCCTCGGGGGAGGTCCACCTGCCGCCATGTCGAGGACGATTGATCTTCTGATCTTCTCTAACTTCTCAGCTCTTGCTTTGTCGTCAGCCTGTGCGATGAGCCCCCAAGCCTTAGGCCACTGAATCACCAACTTCTCAATGACCTTCTCATAGAGTTGCAAAGCTGCCAGCGTCACAATGTTCAAGCAAATGCAGGCTGCCTTGAACACCCTCCAACTCACCAACCATTGCTGCAGGTTCTGCGGGCCGGGAAGCTCCTTCATGATGAAAGACCCGTCACCTACTGGGAGGAAAGCCCGAAACTTCTGTTCTTCAACACTCTCCTTCCGAAGGGCAACCACACCGAGAAGTCAACGTATGGTGGTTGCTTTTGAACAGCTACTCTATGGTGTAGTGCAGCCAACTGAGCATCAGTAGGTTCTTCTTCTTCTTGAGGTGGGGCTCCCATCACCGCTATGTACCGCTGGGTCCATTCGTTGAGCTTCAATGCATCAGGCAGTCTCATCTCTGAGTCATCGGTCTGGTCCACCAGGTTGGCCATCTTCAAGAGGTTCTCCTTGCTGCCTGAAGCACTGCTAGTTACGGGCGCCCTTGTCAAAGCTCCCGTCCCTGTCCCATCATGTCCATCAGGAGGTCCCCCGCTGCTTGGCATAGCCCATGGGTCGTTGTCGACGAACTTGTCTGCATCTCCGCCCCCTCTGATGTGTATGACCCATCGAGCATTGCGCCAAACCAGCCCCACTTGAGCCGCCTGTATGGGTGTCAGCCGCTCACCATCATCTAAGGTCACCGTGCCGACAATCTGAGGGATCGTCCAGTGTGGCATCGCCGCCACCAATCTGACATCGTTGCCAGGGTCCCCAGCCACTTTCGTGAATGCTGTCCAAATGCGATCGGGCACTGTCAGGCTATGCAGGAGGTCCGGGATCGTTACGATGCTAGCGGCTTCTCCTCTTTCCAACAGTACCATGGTGGCTCGCGCGCCACCTCCACTAAAACACAGGAGAGGTGACCTTCAAGGCTCATCTTGAGCCTTGTGGCTAGAAAGGGGGGGATAGACTTCCCTCCCACCCTCCAAAACATTATTCACCCTCTTATGTCAATCAGCTCTTGCAGAGCTTCTACATCAAGAATAGGACATTCAAACATTCAGGAGCGGAGAAGGATGAAAAGGGCGTGCATTGGCAAATCTTGGCACGTCCAACAAAAGACCACGAGCATCCATGACCCCTTTTTGAAAAAGATATTAGCAAAAACATACAAGATTCCCTGTCCCAGTCAAAGGCAGCAAGTCCTTCAAATCTTGAAGGAGTTCGGCGATGCGGCCGTTGGCTTCTTGCTGCTCCCTTTCCTGCTGGCAACATCGGAGTCTGGGCATGACACTTCAAGGTGGGTCCCAATTATATGGCTTATAAAATGTGAACATCAACGTGGTCATATCCGAATTGGGGGCGCTAAATCATTCGATTTACATTTGCTCCCTTTCAGTCACTCTCCCTGTCCTTCCTCAAGCCCGCCCCAACGTGTACTTGTGTCAACTGCTTGCGGCAAGAAGAGTCTGACTCTTCTCCGCAAACCATCAGGTGGAGGACATCAACCCATAGAATACAAACATCAACTATCACCCCGGCTAATTCACAAAGCAGGGGTATCAAGCGGCAAAGTGCCTCGCTTGCGTCTAGTCACCCTTATGGATGGAAAAGTTCTGGTTACGATCACGCGAGCTGCAGACAGTATTGCAACCGATGGTCGAGTAACCAATCCAGCATAATGGACCAAGATCGCTACAGTACTACACAGAGGATCTGCAGCTTCCGGGAGATCAACCATCTGTCGAATTGATAAGGGTTTTCCGTCTCCTGCCTGCTCAATGGAAGCAGGAGCGATGAAAGCAGGACATAAAGAGCCGGTTGCCCAAAAACGTGCATCGTTGGGTTGGTGGAGCAGCCTAGGTCTAGGTATCCCGCGTTGTACTTCTCAGCTTGCCTTCTTGTGCCCCTTTATCGATTGCAATGACCCCCTCTGCTACTGAAAGCTGTGAGGCCTTTATCGCGTGTAGATCCTGCACCTGCCAGCGCGCTGGTATAGGCAAAAAGGACGGGGGGGCAAAACAATTCACACTAGCTGATTCATCATTCTGCACTGCTCAAGCTACGAAAATAACAAACCAATCCTGAAACCCTCATCTACTGCTGCAGTGGCTGAATCCAAGAACGCAGACGGACTTACCAGCCTCAGTGGCAAGACGTTCTGCATTGCTCGCAGCCGTTTGTCGCAAAAGTGCTTCCTGATCAGGTCGGAACCCTCACAAAACTGGCCCAGAATGTCTCAAAGGTAAACTTCTCGACTTGAATCGAAAAGCAGAGCTGAGAGCGAGAGAGAGGCAAATAGAAAGAAACAGAGTCTGCCTCCTCATGTTCGGAGCGCCACTTCTCCACTGACTGCTGAAGCCCTGCTTTTTCTTGCGCTGCAACTGCTGCCATGCTCTCAGCTTTCTCCACTGCCTCGGTGTGTTCAGACTGCCAATTTGCTACCTTCTTTGTCAGTTCGAGTGTTTGCTGGTCCACATCCTTTTCCAAAACTTGCCGCGCACTTGTCTCTGTTTCCAGTGAGTCTTGAAGCTTCCGGATCGTTGCATTCAATTCCTCTGCTCTTGACGCTGCTTCCTTTGCATCTGACTCTCTCACTTC